TATTGAGATAATTTAGGAGGCGGGCTGCTTCGACCCTGCGTACAAGGGCCAACGTTGGCTAAGGGGGATATTATACAATGTACCAGCAGAGAGTCAGAGATACTCGATAAAATCCACCCCACAGGGGAATCAAACCCGTGTCTCCTGCATCCAACAGAAGCCGGTCTTCCTCGACATGTGTACGATATTCTAACACAAATACGAATATAAACATACACACATGCGTAATACATGCACAAATACAAAAACATACACGTACCAAGGACCTTCCAATGACCTCTATTTCTTACTTAATTGACACGTACGCACGTATATACGTGCAAGCCTTTTCATACATACTTCATACTTACATGCGCACAGACACACGAAAAACACATATCACTTACTTGCAAGAACATTGGCACAAGACCACATTTATACAAATGCAAATCGTTTATTTTGTCTCATATTTCGTTCTCAATAGTGCGGTTAAAAATTCGTGGCGTAACTTAACCTCAAATATTTTTAACGGGTGAATCAATGTCATCCATACTTTGCACAGCAGTTTATCTCAATTTGTTTAATCAGTTTTGTCGACAAAAAGCTGAAACTAGATTAACAATCTTTTACAGAAATGTTGATCTGCTAAGACAAACTGACACACGTCATTGTTCAAAAGCTGGAGACTTTATGTTTGATAGTTCAAGAAATATTTGCCAATAAGTAGCGCCACGAATTTTTGACCGCACTATAGAACCGTATCCTAACTTGCCAATCCTTCCAACGCTATACCTCTCCTCTCAGCGCCCATTCCATTCCACTCCTCCCAACACCTCACTCATCTCCTCTCAACAACAACCTTTTACACTCCACACGCCAAGCATAAATGTGAGGCATTGTGGTGAAATCAGGGGCTCGTTAAGATAATGAAACCGAAGAACGCGATAATACATTTCCACCCGTTGGACAATGTTTTGTCCATTTCTTTAAGAAAAAAAAGAGGCGGGGGGGGGGGGGGGGGGGGTTGGTCAGCACCTTTTTAGTCCACTTGATAGCACAGTTCAGTGCTGATTTTACTGGAAAAACGTTGAACAAATGCACAAAAAGTAAATATGCAGTTTTTATGGGCACTCAAGCTTTGGAAGTCACTACATTTTGGTGGTTATTTTCTTGATGACTTTACTTCTGACTCCAGGCGACCCCCATTTCATTCACCTGCAAATATTTCGGTTTTTATTCAAGATATATACATTTTTCCCCACCAAAAGCAGGCAAATGAACAGGCTTTAATTAAGATGATACCAATAGCTCTATATTATTCCTCAAAAACTGACGATCGAGCGCCTGATTCCACTGTGTTGTGATACATATTGTTCCGAACCCCAACCCCAACCTCTACCCTGTCCTCTGAAGTGCACATAAACGACAAACAAACACAGCCACACGAGCATGGTCGCGAAGCAGTGACAGAGGACTAACGATTACGCTGTTGCCAATGCCGTTGCACAAAACCAATCTAATCCTGTTTTACACCACTCATGCATTGCGGCCGGGTTGGTGCAATCTCCACCGTGCCCTTTCCGAGGTCACTGGGGCTTGACGAGCACACGTTCTTCACGACTTTTATTTCTTCGTCAAGAAGAATGAAAATAATATATTTTTTCCGATCGTTGGTTAAGGACCCTAGTGATTTCTGGTGCCTCGTTTTTTTCTCTCCCAGACACGCTCTGCTTAGTCTATTATTCCAGATCTCCCACCCACTGCTCTTTCTCTCTCTCCCCTCTCTCTCGCTCTCACGTACGCCCATTCGTTCACAATCGCACACATACACACGATAGGTTAATAATAACACACACAGTGTGTATGTATGTGTGTGTGTGTGTGTGTGTGTGTGTGTGTGTGTGTGTGTGTGTGTGTGTGTGTGTGTGTGTGTG